ATGACGCGCGAGCGCGGGGTGTTCGTCGTTACATCACCCGTGTGTGTGCGCCAACACATTGCGGTATAAACATTTTCTCACAGAGCAGCAGCGCACAACACAATGTCAATGGTAAAATTGAGACCATTAAATTTTAATGAAGGAATACGTCGTCGTCGTCGTCGTCGTCGTGCGCCTCGACGAGCTATAAGAGAGAGATATTATGACGTTAAGCGCGTAATTTTATGCAGTTGACATGAAAAATAATAATCTCGAATAATTAAATCCTTTTCGATCGCTGCGATCGAGAGATGTTGTAAACAAACGAGCGAAAAAAAAGGAAGGAAACCGAGCGAGCGAGGCAAAAAAAGAGAGCCGATCGCGAATGACTCGTAAACGCTTTTATAGTCACAACGAGACGCGGTATTTGTCGTGCTACATAAACGCATTAAAAATTTATTTTAGTTCAAAAGTACCTGAAATCCCGTAAGCTCGTATATACACAATTCATCAAGCTTCTTTCGCACGCAATTACGACTTCCTCTTCATACGTATGCGCGCGCGTACGTAAAGACGCGCGATCGTTTATTCTTTTTTTCTTCTTCTTCTTTACTCAATTATAGCAGTATAATGGCAAACGCGCGAAGCTCCGCGCACGGTGCAGCAGCGGCTCTATCAATCCAAGAGTGGAAAGACGACTAATTATGCATAATTCGCAAGGGAATAATTAATTGCCGTATATATAAGCAAGCGTAGCAGCAGCAGTGATTTTCTCAATAAAACGTAATCAACGGAGGGGGGAGGACGGAGACGAGACAGACAGACAATGCTTCGCTAAACAGAGGATGTATTATACGCGAGGCGCGAGGTAAAATCGGGAGAAGCTCGATCGAGGGAAAAATTGCGCGCGATACACAATGCGAACGGCACCTGAAGGAGCGAAGAGCGCGATATTATTAAGTAACACGTCTCTAGATGAGCTCGACGCCAGGCCAACAGCGGTGCGTATATATTTACGAGTACAAAACTTGGTTGTCTGCGATGTATGCACTATGGACGATTGAACGCAACCGTACGAATAAAAATATATCAACGAGTTACTTTAGAATTTATGAATTCAAATATCAATTTCCCAGACTGTTTCGCACATGGAGAAAACCTTTCTGAGGACAAGTTGAATGAAGTTCACCAGGAATATTTTAAAAGTTCTGCTTCGAACAGAGGCAAATGCTGTACAACATCAGATGTCTATAAGATACTTTCAGAAACAAAAAACGTTTTCTATGCATTTTTCAAAAAAAATGTGGTTGATGATAAAAGGAAGCCACGCTTTGACTTATACATGTATTATCACTTTGCCACTTGCAGTTTCGCAGATAAGAGACCTAGCCATCTAGCGGTCGAGACTTGAAATGACATCATTGTATTTAAAGTGACTGAAACTTGGTATTCTTTTTATGGAAAAAATTGAACTATCATTTCAACATTATTTAAAATGCGCTTCTATTTGTTGCATAATTGTAACAGACAAATCGCTAAAAATAAGCCAACGAACGGTAATACATCTTGAATCCCTTTTCGATTTTAGGACATGAAACGAATAATGTTGGGTATTTCTATCAGTGATATAAATTCAGAAAAGTCAAGCAAGCCGATATAAATCGCTCTCGCTCTTTTTGTCCTTGTATTGCTACACGAGAAACGCAGTAAAGTGAAAAATTATCCCTATTTTTCTTTTATCTTCCGTCGCAATTAGATGATTCCGCGCATAGCGCTTACGCTCGCTCGGGAGGAATTAAATCGAAGGAAAAAGTATAAAGCGCTCCTATCTATCCATCCTTTTTTTTTGTCAAACAAAACTGCGCGAGCGGACACACAACGAGACGCGAAAACGCCGGAGGATCTACGGGCTACGGCTCGCGGCATCGTCATCATCGCAGCACTACACGGGCAAGTGCATCAAAGGTACATACAGCGCGATGGTGGCTAGAGTTCACCTAGCCGTGAATTTTGCAGCGTCGAGGCAGCAGCACACGAGCAAAGCTCGCAGCAACGACCAACCTAACCGCGGCTCGCGTCGACTCGGCGAAGGAGAAAAAGAAAATGTTGAAGGCACGAAGAGAGAGAGAGAGAGAGGAGAGAGAAGTACAGACTCGCGCGCACAATAACTATACAATGCAGTTCGCAGACACACTTATATGTGTATATAGATAGATAGCTGCAGCTTTGTGCAGCTCTATAAACGCGAAGGAGAAGAAAAAGGAATAGAAGAGAGAGAAGAGAAGAGAAGGGTATATTATGTACTATGTATATGGTGGCTGTTGTAGAGTTGTGCAGTTTCTCTCTCTCTCTCTCTTTCTTTGGCAGCGCATAGATATTATACATGTGCACGTGCATAGAGAGAGATGCCTTATACGAGTGTGTGTGTTTGTGCGCGTACTATACACACAGGCATACAACACACACACTGCAGCGTGATCATCGCGCGCTTCGCGGGCTCTTCGTCCGGGCAATGCTCTCACAAGCTGCTGGGGCCAACTAACGGTCCTCACCTCCACTCTCTCTCTCTCTCTCTCGCGAACGCGCGCAAACATCGCTATATATGCGCTACTACCCAGGTATATGATATACCTGCGTGCGTGTGTGACTGTGTGTGTATATGCAGACTCTTGGACTTTAGCTTGACCAACAACAAGTAGCAGGCAGTAAGAAGTGTCCAAGTGCCCGCGCGCACTGGAACCTTCCTTTTCGTCGTCGTCGTCACTGCTTCCAGCTTTATTTTCTCGCGTTTCTTTTCGTCCGCATACATCTCCTGCCTGTAGTGCCATTATACGGCACCCCGCAGCTATGCCGCAGAGAAGAGCATTATTGATGTCGCGAGGTATACACATGACACAACGCTCGCCGCCGTACCGCCATCGTCACACAATGAGAGTGAAACATTATGTAATTTTGCATAATTTTGTGTGGGGGATTACGCGATCGACTTTGCATCGATCGAGCATCGATTTTTTGCCCTTGACGCGATGGATGGGAATGAAACGAATACGCGGAGAAGAGTTACTGGTAATTTATATAGGTCTGATGGCATAAAAACATTTTGTGATAATTTGTTATAATTATATACTTTCGAGTTTTCCCAAAATTTAGAAAAATTTTACGAAAAAATGTATTTTTACCTGAATCAAATATATCTCTCGAACTTAATCTTTACCACAAAAGCAAAAATTTGAAATGCAACTATTTCAATTATTTTGACAAGTTGATTTACTTGCATTACTAGGGTGCTATACCCTCTTTTATTCTTTTGTATTAAGTAACTTATAATGTGAACAGAATCAAAGCGAAGAATCATGCGTGGCAGTGCCCCTGTGTAAACGAGAAAACCGCTCTGCACTCAATCGTTAAGTATTCGAGGGATAAAACTGCTCGAGAAATTAAAATTTATCCGAGCAAGTCGCAACGAACCAGTTTTTGATTTTAGGGCGTGATAAAAATATAGCTTTTAATTGCATGGAATAAAAATTATATCGTAGCACATTGACGGAGATTCGTTTTTCGAGTTTTTCCGTAACGCACAAATGCGTAGTTAATGCACAAAGAATGTTAAACTCGAATTACCTGTATCGACTAAAAATTGTTTAAAAGAGGTATCGAACGCGTTTCGAGATTCGAGGTATCGAACGTATTTCGAGATTCGAGGTATCGAACGCCTCCACAGGGGGCGTACTCTACAACGAGACGTAATTCAAAATTCACCGAATTTTGGACGTACCGAAAAAATGGCCTAAGCAAATTCTCTTTGAAAGATTCAATTCATATTCAAAAGGTCAATTACGAAATTCGAGCTACCTCAAGCAAGAGGATGGTGGTTGAAAAACTCGTTCGAATGCAACTTCGATCAAAATGCCTGACCGTTGTATTATTTACGTTGGAAAGGAGATAGGGTTGATACTGACTGTTAACTATCGATATTCATCGTAAACTCTTTGAATGTCGAAATCGTTCTATCCTAAATGATTAAATTCGACGAATTCGCGTTAAAGGCGGGGGGAATACAGGCTTTTCCAGCAAAACGAACGGATCACTGCGAGGGTCTCTCCAGCGACTACCGAGCGGCCATATTGCCGCTTTTTTACTAGTTGCATATCTGACTTAACTTACTTCATGAACGCAGTGATTCGCATACATCGAACACATAGTGACATGGTTGAATCAAGTCCGATGTACATCTACAGCCCGTTGCGTCCTAAAATCCAGGAAATCACGGAGTTGCTGCTGTGCTGCGCGCTCGAAAGGTAAACACTACACAGTCTCTCTCTGAGAAGCACAACAATATCACCCTTTACTCGCGCGGGAGTCTGTCTCTCTCTCTCTCTTGAAACAAAACAACATATTGGTCACTGCACTACACCGCCACAACGTACGTAACTCGTAAGTAAGCACATTTCGTCAGTGGTCAAGTTCTTTATTCAGCATAATATGCGTATGCGACGCACGCGAATATATCGATAGGTTCACATTACCAATACTTCCACCGAGATAAATCAGTACAACGTTCGACGACGCATATGCAATATTATAACGACACTTCAGCATCACTGCACACGATTTCTTTCGTGCGTGTATGCGTCTACACTCGTTATTGCCGGCCGGCACGGCACGCACTGGTCAGTCCCTCGCACTCGCCGCTGCTAACCGTCGTCTTATCGAACGCTCGGTGATTTCAAATTCGCGTTCTTTTTGATCGATCGTTAGAAGTGTTTTAGTGAAGTTATTTTATCCTTTCTCGTTCGTTAGAAGTATCGAGTGTTTCGAACATCATCGTTTCAAAAAAAAAGACGTGTGTGTAACGTGTCTGTGCCCGTCGATCGACGTTCGTCGCATCGACGATTTAGCGGGAAAGTCGCTCGCTCGCTCGTTTGTTCTCGAGCGGTTTCATTTCGAAAATTCGAACGTGCCTGCAGTGACCCGTTGATACTGCAAGATTTGAGACGATTTTTTCAATCATCCTGGACACGATGGCGATGAGATTGCTGAGGACCTATTCGACGGGTTCGTCGTCCTCGTCGCTGGATTCGTGCAGTACTTGCAGTACCTGCAGCAGTAGCAGCTCCTCGAGCGCGTCCTCTACGAGTTCGTCCGAGGCGAGTTTCAGCTCGCAGAGCACCATCGTCAATGATCCAGCGGATATTAGAAGGTGAGTATTTTGAGTTTTGAAGCACATTCTGAAGTGATCGAACAATGTTCTTTTTGCAGAGACAAATTTGTGACTAAATTTTAGTTTATCGATACAAATATTGAAATGGTAAAATTACAAACCAAATGAACGAATACACTCTAATATAGTTTTTATGCACTTTCAACAGATTTGGAAACACCAAATACAACTACTTCTGGATTGAAATGAGAGCCAGATCCAATCCTAGACTTCCGTATTACTACAATAGCAAAAGTCAAGCAGTGGTCTGGAACCGACCTGTACCGAAGAGCGTCAGACTACCTGTTTTCATTGATAAATGGGTAATAAAATTGTATCTAATTTAATCTAATATATCTTGTATCTATAATATCTTGTATAATATCTTGTATCTATAATATCTTGTATAATATCTTGTATCTAATTTAATAGAGTAACATATAAATGTATATAAAAAACTATATTTATTTGATATTTTTTGGCAGGGTGGATCTCAACGATTATCATCAGAAAACGAGGAAGATCTCAATTTATCAGACGTAGAAGCTGCTCATCGTAAACGTCTAATTCATAAGAAAAAAGAAAAGCGACTTCTCAAAAAAGGAATGACTGGAATTCTTACAGTCAAACAAGTAACGAAAAATACAAAAATGATGAATACTCTGTGGAAATTATATAGAATTCCAGGAGAAAACATTAAAGAAACTACCCAGAGATTATTTCCTACTGAAGATTCAGAAACCAATCCAATGAATGAGAACGAAAAAAATGAGCCATTGAGTAGATACAAGGCTGCTTTTGAAAATGGTTGCGAAGGTGATAAAATTGATGGTAATGATTCTGACTCTGATGATCCTGATGGCGTTTGTAGAATTATTAGACAAGAATTTTTCACAAAACATCATCACTCGGACTCTGACAATGAAGAAAAAAAAGATGAAGATGAAGAGTCTGAATCTGAAGAATATGAAGGTTTTAGTTCTGGAGAAAGTGAATATTCAGAAAGTTCAGAGTTTGATGAAGAATTAAATTGCAACAATGTTTTAAATACTCAAAATGAAATTTTTAATGACTTAGACACCATAGAAACACAAAATAATGATGATGATTTTGATCATGACTATGAAGTACAATGTGAATTGTTAAATATGTTAGATATTGAAATCACTGAAAACAATGAAAGTATACCTCTAGTAGAGAATCTTACGCATACTCCAGATAACACTGTGTCAAATAGTGATACAAAAAATAATTCAACTTTCGATAATGTCACATTAACTAAAGAATTGTTAAATTCATTTTATCATAAGCCTAAAAGTGCTAAAAGAAAACGTCAATTATTATTGAAAAAAAAGAAACGAAGAGAAGAAGCGCTGGCTAAAAAATTACAATTGTTAAACCAACACAAAAATGAAGTAGAAACAGCTCCTACAAATAATGTCACCGACGAAAGACCAATTATATGTGAAATTAATGGAATTCGTACCATTAATTATAATTATTTACCATCATCTAAAATAAATGTACCTGAGGGGCAAAAAATTTCAAGATTAAGTGATAGTAGTGATGACTCTGAAGATGGGGAATGCAAAACCGCTGATGCTGAAAACAAAGAACAATCAAATGAAAATAGTACCTCTAAAGATGAATGTAACAATAAAGGAAAAGAAAAGAAAGATTTAGAGCTACGGAATTGGTTTCCTAAAAAACGCAGAAAAGTAAGAAGGAGAAGTCAAAGTAAATCTGAAAGTTCATGGCATGAATCAAATTCTTCAGCAAACTCTGGAAGTGATGACTCTGACAGACCAAAGGCACAAATGAAAAGAAAAAAGTTCAATGATGAAACAAACAATAGTCCAGCAGTAAATGTAATTAAAAAAGAGAAATCGTCAAGAATCCCACTACATGAGTGTGTAAATGTGAATGTTAATGGGGTAAACCATAAGACATTATCTGAAAGTGATGACTCAGATGAACCAACAGTGAGTATGAAAAGAAAAAGGTTTAATGAAGAAACAGACGATGGTCCAGCTAAGAAGGTAATGAAAAAAGAGCAACCTCCAACAATTGCACAAAATGAGTGTGCAAATTTGACTGTTGATGATGCAAACCCTAAAGAAGTTTCTATGGAAATGCCACTTTTAAAATCTCAATCGTGTAATGATGAAACTTTTGATAAAACAGAAGTTTCAAAAACAGTTGAAACTTCAATTCAAGCGGAACCCAAAAATTCAGTTGAGTCTGATATGGAAAATTTATTTAAAACTGTTGTTGATGATTCAATTGAAGCTGCTCTTGCAGTTGAAAATTTAATTGAAGCTGAACCTTCAATTGAGTATGATATTGAAGATTTAGCTAAAACTCTTGCTAATGATTCAATCGAAGCTGCTCTTGCAGTTGAAAATTTAATTGAAGCTGAACCTATAAATTCTGTTGAGTATAATATTGAAGATTTAGCTAAAACTCTTGCTAATGATTCAATCGAAGCTGCTCTTGCAGTTGAAAATTTAATTGAAGCTGAACCTATAAATTCTGTTGAGTATAATATTGAAGATTTAGCTAAAACTCTCGCTAACGATTCAATCAAAGCTGCTGTTGCAGTTGAAAATTTAATTGAAGCTGAACCTAAGAATTCAGTAGAGTATGATATTGAAGATTTAGTTAAAACTCTTGCTAATGATTCGATCGAAGCTGCTCTTGCAGTTGAAAATTTAATTGAAGCTGAACCTAAGAATTCAGTAGAGTATGATATTGAAGATTTAGTTAAAATTCTTGCTAATGATTCAATCGAAGCTGCTCTTGCAGCTGAAAATTTAATTGAAGCTCAACCTAAGAATTCAGTAGAATATGATATTGAAGATTTAGTTAAAACTCTTGCTAATGATTCAATCGAAGCTGCTCTTGCAGTTGAAAATTTAACTGAAGCTGATTCTGGTCTGGAAAATTTAGAAAATGCTTTTACTCAAAATGAAATTGAAGCTGCTGTTGCAGTCGAAAATTTAATTGAAGCTGAGCCTGATTATGCAATCAATTCTCAAATTAAAGATTCAGTAGAACCTTCTGCTAAAAACTTAATTAAAACTGCTTTTGATCTTGCTCTTGCAGACAAAGACTTAGATTCAAATGATTCTGATTCAAGTTCAACTTGTTCAAGAGCATCATGTTCATGTAAAAATTCATGCTCATCATCTGCAGAAGATTCACCTGATGAAGAAGTTTCTTTGAAAGAAAATGATGATAAAATTCTGCATGATGATAATGATGCAAAAGAAAATGAAATGGTAAAAGAGAACAATATTGAAATGAATCAAAAAAAAGAAAATTTGGAAAGTATAAATAATGATCTCTGGTCAGAAAATAAAAATATTAATGATAAAAGTAGTGAAATATGCGTAGAGAATAAAAATGTAAATACTGAAAACAATGAAAGAACTGCAGAAAATGGAAATTTGAATGACATAACTAAGGGAATACACGCAGAGAATGAAAACTTTGATAAAGTAGATAAAATGTGTACAGAAAATCCTAATTTAGATGATGAAAATGCTGAAATGAGTATAGAAAATAGAAATTTGGATGATGAAAATGATAAAAATAATGAATTAAGTGCAGAAAATAAAAATTTTCATGATAAAAATAGTGAAATATGTGTAGAGAATAAAAATGTGATTGCTGAAAATGATGAAAGGAGTGCAGAAAAAGAAATTTTGAATGACATTAATAATGGAATAAACACAGAGAATAAATATTGTAATGAAGAGGATAAAATGTGTACAGAAAATGAAAATTCAGATGATGAAAATGGTAAAATGAGTTCAGAAAATGAAAATTCAGATGAAGAAAATGATAAAATGAGTACAGAAAATGAAAATTCAGATGATGAAAATGATGAAAATAAAGAGATGAGTGCAGAAAATAAAAATGAAGAGATTCTCACAGATGATGAACATTCGGTAGATAGTAAGTCAGAAAGTGAAAACGATGAAATACTTACAGATGATGAATATTTGGTAGATAAAAAGTCAGAAATTGGAAACGATGAAATACTTACAGATGATGAATATTTTGTAGATAAAAAGTCAGAAAATGAAGAAGATGAAATACTCACAGACGATGAATATGTGGTAGATAGAAATAAAGAATTTAGTCCAGGAAAAGAAAATGTCAAGGAAGGAAAAGATAATGTCGTTATAGAAAATGATGAAGCGTGTGATAGGAACAATGGTTTGAAAGAAGAAAATGGTGAACCAAGTGCCTCGATAAAAAATAAACTTTTCAAAGGTCTGAAGAAATTGATAAGTAGTATAAATAAATGAGATTATTGTTATATTGTAATTGTATTTTATTTTAATAAGTTAATTCTAATAGTTAATACATTAAGAATTTGTTTTAATCAATTGACATTGTATGTTGATTAAATTTGTAAGTTTGAAAATGTGTACAAATTACCTGTTCCGTTCTGTAGTTAAACCTTGTTATTTAAAATAAGTTAAATAAATTTAATTTTTGTAAATGAGCATTTTTTATCTTAATATAAAGGTCCTTTTGTAATCCAAATGTTTTCTAACAGAATGTAATTTCACACAAAGATATCGCAATTATTAAAGTATCAGTCGAATTTTTTCATTATTCAATACGAATTACGGGTGCATAGTTTGATTGCAAACGATCAATACTGATCTAGTTCTCTCATTGTCAAAATACAGCTCTCGAGAAATCGCATGTTACATTTCAAGTAGATTTATCGCGTGCATACGACCACGCGCTATCGTCAATTTCTCTCTCTCTCTCTCTATGCGTTACGCGCTCGAGTGAGCTCTCGGGGCTGTGGGGCTCTTGGACGCGCAATTGAACGTGTCATCTCTCTCTCTTCCTCTCCGGTATCAGGGTCGCCGTCGAGCGGAATCTAATTAATAATTACATCACACGCGCGGTCAGAGCTGCGTAGAGAAGCTCTGAAGGATCTCTCTGTCTCTCGCGCGAGAATGTCGCGTAACGATCATCAATCGCGCAAAAGGGCAGGACACAGCGATTAGAGATGGATTTTGTATTTCGTAATTATTATCGCATCAGCGATAGTAAAAAAAAGACAAATCCTTCGTCTAGATTTGTTTTATATGCGCCCCTAAGTATTGCATCAGAGAGAGGAAGAGAGGATGAAGTATAATATAATATATATAAAGAATTATACGTAATAACGTGAGGTAATTACGCGAGACATATGGCAGACGTTACCTCTCTCTCTCTTTAATATGCTACTATGCGAAGAGAGAAAGAGAGCGATGCGTCGTCGTCGTTGATCTATACTGCAACAGACTCGCGCAAATCAGACAATATGCGGGAATGCACGTGCGCACGTATACGTATACGTATCCTACATATAAAAAAAAAAGTTATAATATTATGCAATGCATGCGGCATCGGACGCCGGTTATTGGCCTCTCTCTCTCTCTATATCGCGAGGGGCCTCCTTTTTGCTTCTTTCTCTCTTTATGTACACATAATGTATTTGACGATGCGGATATGTAATATACATACACACACACATGACGACCACCGACCCCTTGATCGTGATTTTCTTTTACTTCCGAGGGACAGAGAGAGACTGACTGCGTTCGAGCATTATAAACGCGGAAGCTCGAGGTATGCATTTTATTATATGCAGTGTGTGTACTCAAAAACCGATATCATCGCGATGATCCCAGCGCGCACATATTGGTATGTTATATTTGTGCTTTTCGGATGTGGCTTTTTCGGTGGCGGGTGAAATTATCAACCGGCCATTGGGCGGCGCTCTCTCGAAATTTTTTTTCTTCACGGAAGTTCCGTGTGTGCATGCGGCTACTGCTGCTGCTCTTTCTCTCTCACCGGGCGTGGGAGGACTACTCCCTGCTCACCACTGCATGTTTGACTTACACATATGGTCATCTCTCGCTCTTTCTCTCTCCTGATTGAGGATTGATTCGTGGTATATGCATATGCCCGCTGGTGGTGGTTGTAGTACGTACGTCAGTCCTGCTGCGTTACACAACTGCGCCAATCGGCGCGGACAATCATTGCTCGCCGCCGCCGCTGCCGATTCGACATGCTGCTGAGGTTTTCGCTGAACTTATTAATGCCGTATGCGTATATGCGTATAAAGGGTTGAGAAAATATTATAAATCGCACACAGGTCGGGCCAATCTCTCGGCATGTCCGATTTCGGCCTCATTACGTGCAGATTCGCCGGCTCGAGGAGAGCGCGTTATTATTATATGCACATATACACACCGCAGAGAGTTCTGGCCAGCATATGCTCTTTCGTACAAAATTATTCACAGAAATCATACTTGTGTACGATGATCGGGTGCGCGCTTCTTTTTATAACTCGATTGAGAATAGGATGTATATTTTTCCACGGGTTACGAGAGTTCATAAGTTTTATACGCCTTTTATGTGGGGTGTATACTTCGTGATTAGGAATATTTTTTGGATGAAATTATGAATTTAGCTGTCGTTTTAGCTAAGAGTTTTCCAGCTTTTCCTGTAAAATCTAAAGTTCTATTTGTCACAATTTTCTATGAAAAAAAATTTGATTTTATCTGAAACAAGCGTAAGTGATTTGGATATAATAGAATGTAATTGTCAAATTTGATGTTGCATCAGTGATCACACAGAAGCTCGGGAAATTTCTTCTAGTGTAATGTTTTCGTGAAAAAGTCTGTTTCGGAATCATCGGTGATACCAACGCCACCTACGTAGCTCCAAAGTCAAGCTGTAACTAACTAAAATACCATTTGATTTTTCAGTCCAATTTTCACGCCAACTTTCGTCAAAATACCGTTTAACACATCAACTTCTCGTACACATTTACACGAAAGTTTTTCTCCACGAATTCGTTCATTTTCACGACGGGTTTACCCACGATATCGATTCTACGTACGATAAATAGCCTCAAGTTGGTACGGATAGTTTCTACGTTATCCTACCACGATACACGCCGCGACGCCGCGAGCACCGATCATCGATCCACTACGGGCTGGACGTATATACCCACACTCGCACACGCGCGATGCGTTGCACACACGCTCGCATAATATCGTTTAGTTAATTATATGCCATCCTAATTACTCGACGTCGATGCGACGACGATTGTTACCTAATCGATGTAACTGGATTTTATGTAATTTAATTAAAACAAACAAACAATCCGGAAACCGATATGAAGTAATCTATAGAACTCGTGATTAGTTTTAGCAATTATAAACGCAGCAGCAGCATCCAATGCAACGAGATCCGACGCGTTAAATAATCAAAATTTATTTTTCGAGTTCGAAAGTATTTTCTTGATTAAAATTGAATTAATCTTCGAAGAGGATCACCACCACCGAGTATCGTTTTTGTCGATGCTGCTGCTGCGTACTTGGCTGACCGAAAATTCATTCCTCTCGTCGCCAACGACGCTGCAGCTCTTGAGAAATCTCTTTTGAGCGCCCACTTTACGCGGCGTTAATTGCTCATTACCACGGGTTTAGACGTTATTATTGTTCGATGGAAATTATCTTGAGAATAATTTTATTGTTACCTTAGATTTATAATACAATTAAGAGTTGAGAGCTTCTTCGTATATAGCGTCAAAATTGAATTTTTGAAGTGCAATATGGGACATTTATTTCTGAAAAGTCGAACGTGAAACGTATACCTTGCAGATCTCGAGTACTTTTTAGGGACATTTTTCCAAAAAAGTACTCCGTTCGCAATAATAACTACACCCCAATCTGAAAATTATTAGGCTCGTACCTACGAGATTTCTACACAAGGGTTTTGTGCTTTGCTGAAAATATGCTGATCATTAACCCTGTGTGCAGCTCTCTATACGTCGGTTTTGTTTATACTCTTGTGCTGCTGCTGCTGCTGCAATGCAACGTACGTCTCGCGGAAAAAACGCACACACATGCACACAGGGTGGTAGTGGCCTAATACCTTTACGAAGCATTAAAGTAAAATAGAATTGTATACCAGGCTAGGCTTCAGTGAAACCCTAGGAAAATCGCGAGCTCGTCGTCGTCGCGCGCGAGAGAGCCACACGACACTTACACAGTGTGTAGTACCACCTGGCCCCGGTCGACACATGGAGCCATTCGTCGATAACGCGAAATATCGCTCGCATCCGTCCAAACTGTTGTTGCCAATTTTGTCGTTTTTTATTACTGTTGTTGTTGGTTTTTAGTTGTTACTGTTATTACTGTTGTTGTTGTTGTTGTTGTTGTTGATTGTGTTTGAAGGAAGACAAGCATGGCTGGGGAGAACGAGCGCGACGAGGACGAGGACGTCGTCGACGATGCCGATGGGTAGGAAGCAGAAGTTTTTTTTTTTCATACGACTTTTCGTATTCACCCACTTTTTTATTTTTACTATCCTGTATACACGTCCCGTCGATATATATTTTGGCACCGAAAGTATATTCCCGTGTTTCCGAGTAAATTCCTAGTAAATAACACGATATACATAAATCAATTCCATTTATTTGTAAATAAATTGATTAAATAATCTATATAAAATCGTAAATCCGACTGTCGTCGACGCCATCGTCACCCTCACCTCATAATTTTTTAAAGAAAATCTCTCCCAATCCTTGGTTGAATTCATCTTGCAATTCATACACTTGTAAATTACAACGATACATCAATCACACGTACAGTGTAATTACGATCGTCACTATACGTTTTTTTTATCTCGATATTCAAAAACGATTACACACACACGTGCACAAATTCCCAAAAGCATACATTAATAGTTACGATACGCGAAATAAAAAAAAACAACAACGAGGCTGAATCATATCCATGCATTGTGGCATTATAGTTTTCACCGCACTAAAGGCGACGGTCTTCTTTTATCAATATTTCTTTTTTTTTTTAGTAAATACATACATATATTACCTGTACATATATGTATATATTCTGTATATTATTATTATAATCATGTACATAAGGTTATAAGCGAAGGCTACTTACTCTCTCTCTCTCTCGCGTGCGATGATATACTCATTAAAAACGCGAGATTAAAGAGCCGAAGAAGGATGTTTTTCTTTCTTACGTTACGCGCGCAGTCCGCGTTGATGAGAGGATATCTCTCTGCTATCCCCCTACTCTTTTTTCTTCTCGTCGTCGTCGTCGTCGCTCGCGTTATTACATAGCTTTTCATGAATTATTTACACGTTTATATCCATAATATTCAGCAAAATGTTTGTTGTGCGCGCGAGAGAGGGAATTTAAATCGCAAAAAAGCTTGGCGTTTTTTTTTGTCATCGTTGCCTCGCGCGACTTCTAAAGCT